GCTGAAGGGACCTGCAGTCATTGGTGGTATGCCCATAGTCTCTATGGTAGGCACAATGTTTGATTTTGTCCCTCTGCTCCAAGGGTTGTTTCATGGGCTGAGGAGTTGCGAACCTCGTCTTATTCTCTTGGAACAGGCGCGCTAAGGTAGTACAGAGAGGGGTAAGCCTGTCCTCTGTCCTTTGCCTCTTCTCAGGCGCTTGGGTGACTTGTGTGGCGGCATGAGGAACCTTCTGCATCCTTGTGCTTGCAGCTTTCTCTCGAGACTTGTTTTCCACTGTGACGAGGGTAGCGTGCTGTGCACGGTGGGCTACGTTTTCCTCCAACCGAATGTAAATTTGTGCCTTAGCGTTCAAAGTCTGCATATCCGGGGGGGAATATTTGATCAAGGATGTGTGAAACTTGGTTCCCTGGATCATTGCCAACTTAAATGTTTCGATTGTTGTGGCAGGGTGGCAATTTGCTATCTCCGAGGCTTCCATGTTAAACCTGGATAAGAAATCTTACAGAGTTTCTCCCTTCCTTTGCCTTATGGTGAAAAGGCTGGCGATACTCTTCTTCTGCTTCTTATTTCCGCAATACTGGGCTAAGAACATAGTGCACAAGGTCTCATAATCAGGGATAGACTTGTGTGGCCTATTCCTGAACCATTTTAACGTTGCTTCGGTTAAACTGGTAGGAAAAACCTTACACATCCACGGATCGTTATGATCGTCCAGTGCCATCTTTTGCGCATAAGGATCGAGATGCCGAGAGGGGTCTCCTGCCCCATCGAACTGGGTGAAGGATGGCATAGTGAACTTCCTTGGTCTCTCCACAAGGTACACATCGTTAGTAAAGGAGTCTTGACCAAGGAGTTCTTGTGCTCTCTAGCCATCTCGGCTGGTGTCTAAATTCTTAATAGCTTCTTTTCGTCGAAGGCATCTTGTACGCGTGCGCCATCTGGAATGCCATTGGACTATACCGTAAGCCTATGGCTGGACTCGGCCTGTTCGTCTTGTGTGCGACGCGGGAGATTATCCGAAGCAACCGCCTCGGACCTCGTCCCTTGCTGTTGCTGAACCTCATTAGGTCGAGCCCCGTTGGGTGGTGTCCCGTTGGCCGGAGGCTCGTGAACTAGAGGTAAATTCTGGGTAGGGGGTGGTGCTGCAGCATCGCCTGGTGGTGGTTGTGGCGTTAGCCTGGCTATTGCCGTGTGCAGCGTATGAGTTTGCTGCTGAAGTGCAGCTATCTGGGCGACACTCGTATCGTTTCCTTGCCGGAGTGTCTCGAATTAGTGCAAGAACTCCTCTCGCATCTTTTGCATCAATTCTATCTGTTGATTCATTGCTGACTCTCCGTTTGACATTCCAGATACGACTAAGGATTTGATTTGAAGAACAAGTGGGAGTATATTTTTATACGATTCCCACAGACGGCGCCAAAGTGTAGGTGCAAAATTTCGCTCAACCAATAATGATTAAGAAAAATAAAACAACTCACTCAATCAATAGTAAAAATAAACAAGAACAATATATATCGAAGCGTAGAATTGCTTGATCCCTTTATTGGAGGTCTAAACCTCTATTTATATACAAAAGATTGTAAAATTACGGTAGGACTCGAGTTGCTTGTCCTCCAATTCTTTCTATATAAACATTCTTTACTAATAGAGTTCTTTTCATTGTCTAATTTTCCATACATAGAACTTGCCTTGTACAGAACTTCCTATCTCAGAATTTTCCTTCTATGGTAAATCCTTCAACTGGTAGGACTTGTGCATTCTTGAAGAACTGGGCTGAACATACTTTGATCTGGCTGGGCTTGAATAACGGACCGGATGTTAAATATTAACAAGTTGGGCTGATGATCTCTTGATTCGGCCTTGATAGAGGTTGGAAGACAAATAACAGTGGTCTTGGGCTAAAAATACACTCAATTTGGGATTGAGCATGACAGGCCTTTGTAAGATAGATTTACATCTGTGATGACGTGGAATATTCTTATTGGAGGGGATTTTTTCCCTCCACAGTTATCAATTTGACATCTCAAAATTTGTTGTGATTGTTTATAATTGATTGAAGAAGGAAACAAACAACAACTAGAGAGCTCTAAACAATAAAAAAGAAAGGCAAATGGATATTCCAAATTTCCAATACTTCATATTACCCCTACCGGGGAAAAAAAGATACTTCATTACCCTACCGTCCAACAGGAAATGAGATATTGATAAATCTTATTATTGTTTCTACATCTTCTAATATATTAACAATACTAATAGCTTCATTTAAGTAATAACTGAAAAATCTTCTATGTGATATATCACCACTGCCATACTAAGGTTGTGGAGTTTTCCTTTTCAATTCTTACCTTTCAGATAAGATGACGCAATCCAATGCCATGGACGACGAAGAGAAGAGATGGAGAATTTTTATTTGCTAATTAAACTAATTCTTAATTATTTATTTTAATATTTGAAATTAGATAATTTTAAGAAGGGTATTTTTGTATTCTGTAATAAGAGTGTGGGGACATTTTGAATTTTAGTAATAATTCTTGATGCATTTGTAATTATTTTATTTAATTCAATCAATGTGAAAAATCAACTTTTAAAATTGACCAATTTGTTATTTAGAGCTCCTAATTCTACTTATATGTAGTTTTCCCTTCTATTAAATATGTGAGTTCTCAATGTTATTTTATAAACAAAATCTAAAGACTATTCATATTAAATCTGTGAGTTCTCAATGTTTATTTATCTTTCTAAATTTTAAATTTTATTAGTATATATGATTCTGGTTAGAATTATTCTAATTTCGATTACTTTTAATATATTAACTTGATAATACGTAGTGAAAGTATTTATTGAAAAAAATAATAATCTAAATAGAATTATGAATATTTTTTAATAGAAATTTAAAAATAATGCCAAAGTTTTTTTTTCTTTTCCCAATATTAGGGTAGTCTGAAAATGATTTACCTTATTGTTGTTCAAGCCCCGCTGAAATTATTTTCTAGCTCCGTCACTGTCTTGAGTCGTGGTATTCTAGCATTTCTTTTATTAGTTTCTTTGCACATCATTTCCCCACAACCCTGTAATTCATCTACACCATATTAGTCACACTATTTCCATTTTACTCAATTATTCTTTCTCCAAAACTGAAACCACAAGAGGGAATTATAAAAAGATCTCCTTTCACTGTGTTTGTTGACCCTAATCCAGTGAATTCTTATGTTATGTTTGGGACCACAAAATCAGCATTTTGGAATTAAAATTGAAAGAAATTTAGGCTCTGTTTGTTTCGACGTAAAATATTTTTCGGAAAAGATTTTTCTTTTTTAGATAAATATATATATATTATTTTTCGGTATTTGGCAAAAGTTTAGGTCGAGGTTGAGACCGAGTCTATCGGGTTGGACGTGTAAAATAAATTACCAAAAATTGATAGGTAAATTATTTTTGTTAAGTTTTAATATATATTTTTTATTTATAAATATTTTACGACAACTAAACACCAAAAAATTAAAAATCTAAAAAATATTTTGCATCCAAACAAACGAAGCCTTAATTAAAACTTTAAATTATTATTATTTTTTTCCCAATTTAAATTCCAATACATCAATTATGCGTTCCCAAACATAACTTCCTTTTTCACTTATTCTCACTTTTTGTGCATAAGATTTTCATTCTAGGCCAAAAATAAAAGGATAAGGAATTTGTTAGTTTGATATATCATTGTATCAAATAGCATGGGCAATGCTTTCAAAACTAGAAGAAAATTGGTCTGAGACAGTTATAATAAAGGGGCTAACTAATTACAATAGGCCTATAACTATTTAGCTATAACTATTTGGTTATACTTTTACTCTATTTCAATTTTTATTCCGACTTGAATAAAATTAAACTCAATTACTTATTTTCTGTTAATAAACTACTCCTATAAAATTAAATTCAACCTTACTTTTATTTTTGTATTTATTTATTTATTTTTTTCATCTACAAAGCACCATCACTTTTTCATTTTTTCAAAGTATGTATAACCATTATATTTAGAGCATGGTTTGCAATCGTAATTGCAGCGTAACGGACTCGGGTAAATATTAGTATCAAATATTTTAAAAAAATTATGAATTAATTGATATAACGCACATCGATCGATACGTTTCATAACTTCTCACATTGTATGAATAATGTTAATTTTGCAACTTTGACATTGATAGTGGCATAACAAGCGCCTTAGTAGTGTTTTTTTGGCAAGAAAAAAGACTGTTTAAGTTACTTCCCAAACGACCAAACCATACCAAACCAATGTGTGTTTCATTTGATGCCCCTGTTGAAACATATTGAAAGGTCAAATACACTCTCAGTTTTGCCCTTTAGTTGTTTGGTTGGTTTTAAGTAACAAGGGCCGACCTTTTTTTTCTAGGTTATTTCAATTAAAATGAAAAATTATCATATGATCTCAGGTTAATTACTATCGGACACGTAAATAAATTTGTCAGCTTTGTATTAACTTTATTTATCTTTTTGTTTAGGTGAATAGTGATTCATTAGAATCAATGGTTTTGGACCATTTAATAATTTCTTAACAAAATAATATTATAGGTTTATAGTTTGTATATATTGTTTCAAATACAGTGGAAGAATAGTTTTAACATGCTAAAGAATTATTTTGGAATTGGGCTGGTTACTATTGAGCAATATTTTTCAGACCCAAATCGTTCTCACGCAGGATTACTTCTGAGATGGCAATTGGTCCTGACCCGACGGGTTCTCGCCCTATTGAACCGGGTATGGTAAAGGGTTATTTGAAAATGAACGGATTTGGATTAAAAAAATTAAAATGGAATAGTAGTAGATATTGTACACAGACAATACATCATTTCAAAATAATTTGGTACATGTACTTATACAATTTTGAATAATAAAATAATACGAAATATGTTATATTTGATTAGTGCACCGAGCACACTAAATATCTGCTCCGCCTAATCCAATACTTTTTCTCTGAAAAGAGTTTATGATTTTTCAGCCCTTCCGGCTCCAATTACATCATACTCTTACTCAAATTTTATTTAAATATATATGGGGGTTTTCCTTCTTTTTTTATTTTTTATTTTTTTTATAACCAACAGATCTCATGTCTTCTCTTTCTCTTAGCTTCCTCACCTCCCAACTGAAGAGCTCTTCATATTTGCCGCCACCTAGCAAGTGGTAGTCACTGCCATATCATCGGTCACCGGCTCCGCCCTTTCATTAGAAATGTGGATCTCATGTATTTCTTCCAATCTGTATTATTCCTCTTGCTTGTAATTATTTTGTTATATATATATATATATATATAAATCTATTTCTCTCGTACTCTGCATGTGTGTGAAACTAGGGTTTGGCTATGTAAACGGGTTCGGGACCGAAATGAGAGAGTATGGGGCAAGATATTTCTATACAGGCCGGGTAGAGTTCAAGGAAACTTGTTCGAAATTAGCTCCTTTGCCATTCCCCTCACTGGCGTGCACTCATACACACAGTTAAGGTATGCTTGGTTTGTTTTCATAAAAATGTTTTTTTATAATTCTTTCTTAAAAGTTTTTGAAAAGTATATTCAGAATTACAAATCAAAATGTCTTTTATAATTATTTAAAAACAGTTTTCTATTCTTATAATTTTTTAATATTATTTTCAGAATTATAAACCAAACCAACAATTATACTGTAAGTCAAATAAAATTGGCCTCGAAAACCTTTAAATGGTGTAAAAAATTAAAATTTATAGTGAATTAACTGGAATAGTTTATGTTTCTAAAATGTGGATATAAAATTAGAAATAATTGTTGCTATGTGCAGTTTTAAAATTTCGAATACTTAGCGTCATCAAATTACAAAAATTCCCTGCCATTTTAAGGGCTTTAGTGCTTTACAGGGTTTTTATCTTTCTAAGCTTGAATTCGCCATCCTTTTAGGTTCGTGCTTCGAACCCAGCTGTGATTAAGGTTTTACCTCATCGGGGCTTCTGATTCAACTGGTCGAACTTCTCTGCAATTCATTGTAAGTTCACACACCTTCGTATGGCCTTAATTATTTTTTTTTTTCTTTTTTGTTTTTTTTCAGAGATGAACTTTTTCCCGAGAAAATGATCAGATTCGAGGCAACATCGATCAATCTAACAAGGTTATTGACTAATTTCTGTGTGGACAAACGGAGTCTTTGCAATGATAGACAAGTTTTCTGGTTTTTTACATGTGTGTGTATATATATATATCTGTGTGTTTGAGTATGTATGTGTATATGCATCTCTATTTACAGATTACTATATCAATTATTGTATTCAGTAGAAAAATTTAAGCGATTCGTTTCTATTTTATACGCCATAATGTAATGTTGGGTTTTCTTTATGTTGTTCTCTCCCATCTTTGCTTATGTGTTCTAGTTTCGAAAGTTTGCGGGCTGTTTCCTCTTGCCTTACACAATAATGCCTCGGTAAGTTTGATTTCTTATTAAATTTTGATTATATATTTAGTCTTTGGCCTTTTTCTAAGAGTGTCTACCTTTTTTTTCCCCACTTATTAGTTGGTTCTATATTTTTCAGATACTATTGTGACTATTGTGACACTTATCTGACACATGATTCTGTAAGTCATCCTCTATTTATATATGCTGTAATTTTTGTAGAATGTCAATGCAGTAAACTGTTCTGTGCTCATTGTACTAATTGTAACTCTTACGCTAGAGAATTAGGATTTTGGAGTCGTTTTAGCGATTGATTTGAGAAATATCGTGAACCAGGTTGCATATTCTTCTCTAGAACCGACCAATCTGGTCATGTACAAAAGAACTCTAATCTACTCAATAAAGCCTTGTCCCAACTATTTGGTTTCAGCTGCCTGTAAGCTACCAAACACGACCTCATTTTCTAGGCTTAGGAATGATTGTGTAAGAATGAGACACTAGGCAGAACATAGGCAGAGTTCTGGTCATTCATGCACAATATATTTTCGAACAATTATCTATCATTAGTCCTTTATTTTATTTAATTTTTTAATTTTTACTACACTAGTGCATAACCAGCCGTAAAAGTAAGAGTAGTTTATCGGAATGATTGTCGTTTTTGAAATTTGAAATATCTTATGTGTTACTCTCATTTTTAACATTCCGGCAACTCTGAGGAGGTAATGATTCTTAACATTTTATATTGCTCACTGTTTCTTTTTGTCATTTCAGCCATCTGTCCGAAAGCAGCACAATGCAGGCTATAAACACAAGGTTTGCTCTCTGTGTTTCTAAAAGTGTAATGCTCCACATTGTTTTGATATTTCTTATTCTGTACAGGCAAATGTGCGAACCTATTATCAGCAATTTGAGGCACAGCAAAACCAAAGTTTGGTTGACCAGAAGATCAAGGAACATCTCGGGCAAGCGGCAGTATACCAGCAAGTTGGTGCTGCTTACAACCAACTGAGGCCCCGTATTCCTATTCTACCTCCTCCTGTATTGCCGATTGCAGGGAACACACAGTTACCTATGAATTCACCATTACTAGCAGGATATAGGCCTCCAGTTTTGCCAAGACCAGCTCCTGGCACACAAGGTAAACTGGAACTTTACAGCTTTGAATATGTTCATTTGCATGTCATCTAAGTGTTGACTTTTCTGGTAGATATTTCGTGCTTGCAGTGATCCATGTATATACGCATTTGCACCAGGCTAAGATTTGTGATATTTAATTTTATCAGTGCCTGTATGATCAAAATTTGGATCTTCAGGTATTACACATGTGGATGGATCTGGTCATTTAAGGAATGGGGAAGTGTATTATGGTGCTTATCAATATTTGGGAAAAAAATTGATTTGGCCAGCAAAATGATTTAGTTTAGGGCTCTGTAAAATATGTGGATGGCTCTGTAAAAATGATTTAGTTGAGTGGTCAGTCTTCAAATTGAAGGAATGTAGGTGTATTGACATTTGGCAGTGTAAAAACCAGCATCGGTAATTAATTCAGTAACTACTGCTTAGTTGACACATTAGAAGAGAATTTTACAAATAAGAGTCACGTATCATTTAATTCAGAGATCTATTTGAGAGAGAGAGAGATTTTAAACACATTGCAGTGTCCATTGCTCTCTATTTTTTGTGAATGTTTATAGTTCAGTTCAATTGATATTTTAGCATTTAGCATCTTACTAGTTATTTAGGCCTTTAGGAGGTGAACTCATTTGGATTCTATACATTGCAGATTTGTCCTCGTGAACCTGGAATTTGAATAGCTTTCAGGTATATATAAAAGGTGTTTAGCAACGAGGGCAGCATGAGAGAGGCTTTTGTAGAATTTTGAAGTGGAACTTACAAGAAATATTATATATATTCGATTTTGCTTATTTAGTTCCACTTTTGAGAAAATACTTTCATCTAGATGCTTTTAGATATGTGCTTGAAGAAATTAGAGGGGATCTCTAGTTTTGTATCTGGGCGCATTTGTACAAGAAGCCTGACAAGAACAACTAAGATGGAAGAGACATTATATGTGGTATATTATATATCATTTTACTGCAATTTATTTGGAAGAGATTTTCATTTTATGTCTTCTTTATACACATACCTTTCTTTTTTCCCGTGTTGGCTGGGAAGTATCTGAAATTCTAAAATAATATATATTTCTAATTGGATACACCTGGTTAAGTAGAATACTTTGGATACGACTGGACAGATTTGTTAATATATATTTCTAATTTTCTTTCTCTATCTTTATGTTTTATCAATTTGCCTTTTTATTCATGAACATATTGGTGATTATATTTACATTCATAATATTATGGAAAACTAATAAAAGTGATTTTTTATCGTGTCATAGTCATATCCTGTTTCCGTTTTGCATAGGGGAGGAGAAATGGAGGGTGTCTCCACCCCTTTTGGATACCGTAATCATCCCATAATCACGGGTATTGAGTAAGCCTATGTCTGAGACTTGACTTCCCTAGGATTTTAACACTAGAACTCTGGGTTATTGCCCGGAAGCCTTATGTCAACTCAGTTACCCACTCAAAGTGCTGACTCAAACTTTTTTTTTTTTTTTTTTTGACATGTAAAATGTAAAACTGCGCATAAGCGGAAATGTTTTTAAAGATTGAAGTGAAATCTTTTCGGCCCATCTTGTCGCTGATCTGATGGATATCTGCTTGTTGGCAGTTGAACTGTCAATTGTATACCATGCTTTGTGTCACATTTGTAGTAGTCTTAGGCGGGAAGAGAACCAAAAGATCTGTCTGTGTGTGGTTCAGTTGAGGAACTTGAAATTCTTTTCGTGTTAGGTTGTTTACTACCAATTAGTGAATTTTCAATTATGGGTAATAAATACCCTTCATTCAGTGGGTTCTGTCATAAATATTGTCGGATCTTCTTAATCAATCAACAATATTGCTTTCAATCCTAAGCTCTGTAGTCAGGCACCTGTACGATCACAACATAAAATTACCGGAAAATAAAATGAATTATAAGAAAGAGGAAGAACATTGGTTGTTTGCTTCCATCAGGTTCTTCCTTTAGTCTGTAAAGACATTTGTTAGTGCAGCGCTGATTTCCCCTTAGTTAGCAGAACTAGCTCCCATGTCTGGTTTGAATAGAGTGAGTTCATTTCATCATCCATAGCACACTCCCACTCTTGGTTTCAACCTGCAATGCTTCCTCAAAACATTCTGGTTTACCACTGTGGAGGGTAGGTTGATCCTCTTGCATTTTTGCACAATTTGGGTAATTACTTCTCTCTAGTTCAAGCCTTATGACATTTATAATACCAAGAAAGGTCCCTAGAAGATAAACAACAAAAGATGAAAATAGTACTTATACGCATGTAGTAGATGCCAACTTTTGTGGTCAAAACTCCCAAGGTTTCCTTGACTTTCACTTGCACCCCATTGTTCTCTCTGTTAGGACTGCTAGCAGAAAATTGTGAAATATCAAAAGTACGTTTGATTGACAGTAAAAGATAAAAATAGATGACAAAATTACCCTCAAGCCATTTACCTCACATCTTTGCGGATAAAATTGTAAACTAATTCATTGCAATTCCATCTAATAACGGAAGAATTATAAATCTCCAAAATAATAGATAGAAATAGTGCAAATAGAGCCATTATGACCTATGTTATATGGACTCGGGTACGGGTGTCGGACACGGGTAAGTATCCATGTGTCGGACGTGTCAAATCTCCAAATAGAAGGACACACGGACACTGCTAAATATTCATTTTATTAATTATTTTATTTTATTTTCTAAAGTAAAGTAATGTTTTTATTTAATATAATGTTCAATATAGGCATTTAACTCATTTTAAAGTAATAATATAATGTAATTGAATGATTGGTTATACTTTTTAAGTACATGTCTAACCAAAAGTATCAGACACATATCTCATACCCATGTCTGAGGGATATATGTCGGACACGGGTACTTCGCTACTTTTGAAGAGTCCATGTAATAGAGATTACGACACCCATCACAGGAGTCGTTCCCCAATTCAAATCTTATTGGCTTTGCCACACCTATGCATTAAAAATTGCAGCAAATAGTAAATGTGTAGAAAAGGTTATTTCACATGCCTCGTTTAATTGTTTGGCCGCCCAACCTTACTAAGGGGTCGAAGTGTAATAAATGCACATCTATTAGGACTCCAAACCTGGGGGGTCTTGGTGTAATTTACTTGAATATAAATTATGAAAATTCCTAAGTACCTAATTTCTATTAAAAATGCTATCTGATCTGTAGGTGCCTGCCTGCAAGCGAGCTGGTAGACTTTAGACATTCGTACCATAAACATGTGAACTTATTTTTCATATATTTGTTTGTTCTGACGTAATTATACCTAATACCTGCAACTATATCTTAATCACTAATGTACTAATAGTTCCTAGTTACTTGCAATGCATACTAATAGTTCCTAGTTACTTGCAATGCATATAACTTTGATGGCAAAAGTCTTATAATTTTGTGGTACTTCTATATAACATGTTTCATTTTATTCACAGATTGTCAGTTATCCTGTTTCTGTTTTGATATGGTGTATTTGAATTTGTATTGCTGTTGCTAGGTTATATGTCTGCTCCCACCATGCCACCAATGGTTGGGCCATCTGGTGCTCCTTCCTTTCTTGGTCAAATTAATGGTCTCCCAAGGCCTCCGATTCTGAATCCCCTGACAATGGTTCCAGGGAGCACAGCGGCACCTACTTCTAGTGGTGCCACTTCAGTGGTGACACCAGCTATGTATCAAGCCAGTCCACCGGTGCCAACATCTGGAAGTTTTGATAGTTTCAACTTGAATGCTGAACCAACTGAGGCTAATCATTAGTTCGTTGAAGCTGGTGCGTTTTTCTTTTTTGTCGCACGGAATAATATAACCGACAGTATAATTGCATCATGATATGGTTTATTTTTCTTTTCTTGTAAATTTAGTGCATGTTTTTTTTTTTTAAAAAAAATAAATTAACTTACAGAAATTAATATACAAACAGAGATTGGGCATTAATCATGGTCTCAAGGGGATCATCCTAGGTGGGCCTCACTTTTTTTTTTTTCCCCCACCCCTTTTACATGATAGATGAAACTTCATCAAAAGAGATGGTGATGCTAGAAAGATAAAGCATAAAAGATATATATAGGAATGGAGAAATTTAAAAAAAGAAAGAAAAACAGTACAGACAAAAAAAAAAAAAAAGAAGCCCCGAGGACTTTAAGTCATCATGGCATAGGGGTTTCAGTTGATTTTTGTTACTAAACCTGGAACTGAGCTGAAATAGGGTTGTTAACTGTAACCTAAAACTGCGCTTTAGAAATACAAAACCAAATTATATTGAAATGATGAAAGTCTGTTTTAGGTCAGGTTGGTTTCAGTCTTAGCCATTAACTGTTTTGGGATTGTGGGCAAACAATAAAGGCTACAAGTCTGCATGCTGACTGCTTAAGCAGCTTTAACGGACAGGTTAGCCCAACGGCAGCGTGGCTCTTGTTTGGGGTAATATATATGGATGGTGAATGTGTGTGAAACTTTAAGGATGCAATTGATGTGAGAATACTGACTCGACTCATTTCCTAACAGGCCTAGTTGTGGTAGGAGTATAAAGAGAGAATATAGTGTGAGTTTAAGTAAAATCTTAGAATAGAATAATAAGATGCAAATAGAGAAAATAAGACTCCTATTTGTTACAGATCTGTTGTGCTGGTCATGCGTTCTTTGGTGGCATAACGACCACTATTGCGTTGTCATTTGAGCACTAGCGTCATTTGTCTCATCTGGGAAAAATAGTTTGATTAGACAAAAAGATTTTCTCCATCTGGCCGGTAGCTTCTGTTGGAAACCAAAATCATACTTTCTGAATACCGCTACCATCACCTTTGATTTTACAAGACCCAATTACCTACCTTCTGTAATATCTGAACTCCAACATCCTTTTACCTTCTGTGCGTTCCATTCAAGCAACAAATCCTTAAAACCTCTTTGCATCATTGACAAAGCCCAATCAAAACACTGTCATGTTAACCATCACTGTCAATCCACTTCATTTTTACAAATAAGACCTTAGGAAAGTTTGATCTACATCGTGTGCCGATAGTTGATTCTGATGACACCAGCAATGCCGGCTGATAACAGTGTTTGTGGGTTTAGTTGATGGTGATTTGCCATTCCTGTTTATTCTAATTATGTAATATGATGGTAATAATTTGACTGTGTAGAAGAGAATGTAGTTTTTCATGCACAGCCTTGTATAACTGTGATGGAAGGGAGATGAAAGAGGATTCCTAGTTTGCTGTCTGATGACTAATTACGAGGAGGGAAAGTCTGGAAGGGGAAGAAACCAGAGAAACACGCAGTGATGATTAACGGCATTAATAGTGGCCAATACTCCAGTCCCTGAGGCAAAACTTAATTGAGGAACCACATGACCTGCACTGAGAGACCTGTACCCAAGTCATGTTTGAGGTCTAAAAACTAAGTTTGAAACTTACATGTCTCACTTCAGTTGTGAACAAAGGAATAATGCAAATTGAGAATACAAAAAGACGTCCAACTTTTTTCTCTTTTGCTTTCTAAACTAATAATCCGGCCAAGAAATGCGATAAGTTTTCATCATGGCTCTTTTTTGCATTATTTTTCATTTGTTCTTGACGTGTGTCTTCATGAAAACGCTATTCTTACAGGTGACAAAGGAGCAGACGATAAGCATGACTTGCGGAGCTACTCTCGTGGTAGATTCTTCTTTTGCAATGCTTAATTTTGGGTCATTCTTTTTTTTTTTTTTTCCTGAATGGTATGTTTTTGGGTCATTCAAGTTTCCAATGTGTGCGAACTTCTCGTGTGTTGCTAAATGCAGGGGACAGTTGTGTGATTAAAATCATGAAAACCATTTTAGTTTCTGTTGCAAAGGATTGCAACTTCTCAGGCATAATTTTCTTTAAACGTACCAATGAATGGCCCTTTTGGTAACCGTTTTCGTCTTTTTGTTCATCTAAGAGTAAATTTTTTATTTTTATTTTTATATCTAAACTTAAAAATAAGCAGTGTTTATGTTCTGTTGTTTATTAATAAACAGAAACATTGTTTTAAAACACAAAAATGTTGAGCTTGTTTTGAAGACGAAAAGCAGAGAAGGCTGAAGAAGACTTGGCACGCATAGAAGTGTACAAATCAAAACCCATTCTCACTCACGAAGTGGGATTTTGTTAACCTTAAACTGTTTAAAGAAAAATATAACACAATAAGCACAAACGAAGGTTTGGTTGTCTTTTGAAGAACTTGAAAATAGAGACATATATGGAAAGTGAAGACTTCATTTTTTATTTTTATTTTATTTTTTCAAATTTCAGTGCTCTTCAAAGTCATCAAGCAATTTTATGAAACAACAATAGGGAACCATTTTTTTTTAAAAAAAAAGCATATAGACACCATTTTTTTTTTTTTTTTTTTTTAAAGTTGATCAAACATGTGATAAACCATGCGTTGACCATATTTCTTTCAAGTGAGACCAATGGAGCGAAATAGACGGGAATAAAGAAAAATATCAGAAGAAAAAACTAGCAAGTCATTATTACTCCTAATGACCAAAGGCCTTGTGTCTAAGTGCTATTTCCGTAACCTTCTAAAATGGATGGTAAATGTTTGAATCTTTAAAGGAACAGAGTGGGTGTATGAGTTTCTTGTCAATGAAAAAAAAATAAAAAATAAAAAAAAATTACACGTATGTTCCGTTTGTTTAGACGTAAAATATTCTTTTTGAAAAATATTTTTCTTTTTCAAGTAAAATATTCTTTTATTTTTACTTTGTCGATGTTTGGCAAAGGTCTGCATTGAGATTAAGGCCGAGTCCATCGGGCGGGGTATGGAAAATAATCTGCCGAAAATTTATAAATAAATTATTTTTGTTAAATTTTAATATTTGTTTTTTGCGTAAATATTTTACGACAACCAAACACAAAAAAATAAAAAAATATTTTACGTCCAAACAAACGGAACCGTAATGTAAATAAAATATCTCTCCAATAAAAGCATAGAAATTATTACTTTGAAAAATTACAATTTTGCCCTTTTTTTTTTTTCTTACTAAATGGAATTGAAATATAAATGAAAAAATTAATAAGGCCCTTACTATTCATTTCACATCAAAAATAATAAACACTAGTTTAGATGGCATAATTTTTTTGAAAAGATTGACTGAGCACCGGTGAGAACAAAATATACGAGTGTATGCTGCAAATCTAATGGTTAAACCATACCTCAAAAATTTCAAAGAAAGTCTAAATCCATTTCCAAAACCCACTCGTTAAAATCACATATAAAGATATTAGTAGCATGGAAAAAACACAATATCAAATTTAGAAAATTATTTTTTAAAGGGTCAGTGATGTAGCGGTATTATTCTCTTACTTTCTAAAAGAAAGTTTAGAGTTCAAGTTTTAGATTAGACAAGTGTGTGTGAGTTATTAGGGAAAAAAAAAAAAAAATTCAGAAAATTCATGACAAAGAAGTCCATTAAGCATTATTGATCCATGCACCAACTTTTCCAATCAAATCAACTTTTCTCATTCCTCAACCTTTAATCACTACCAGGGGAAATATGCTCACATTTCCTTATAAATAACCGGCTCAGGCTCTCTCTCATCACTATGTAATGGCAGTCCAATCAGCGTCTCTTCCCTACCAAGGTTTTGGTTTCCATTATTGGTTTCATGATTTCTATGATACCAAATGGGGTCAAAGTCAACGCCATCATAAAACATACGAGTTGATGAAGACTTGACATCGCCCAATCTAAACATCATTAAATGGCAGTTATATTATTCTAGTTGTTTTACATATTATCTAACAATGATTTTTTTTAAAATAAAAAATAAAAAATCGAGTTAGAAATAAGGCTATTTTACTAAACTGCAAATCAAGTAACATCCCTCCAACCTGTCAGCGGCACGCTCAAGGAAACGCAAATGAATAGAGTGGGTTGTAAAGTGTTTTAGGTTTGTGTATAGAATTGTGGGGTATATTGGAGAGCTTGTAGAAATGGGATGATTGAAGAGAATTTGAGAACAGTAGGGAGTTTTGTACATATATTTAGGTTGGTGAGTAGAATGTCTATATAAGGAGTGAAACTCTCATGTGGAGTCACGAAGTTAATAATGTTAAATTCAAACGATGCATTCAAAATATGGAATTAGTTTGCATGCCTGACACCTTACATATTCCCAATGTTCAGAATAGAACGTTAAAGGGGATCAAATCAGCCCTGTGTTAATTTAAAAAATTAAATTTAATTTGAAATATAGTTGATAAAATTTTGAATATTAATAAATAGAAGAATTAGAGTTTCTTAAATTTATTTATTTTTAATCCATGTTAGCTCTGGAAAAACAAAATATGAGAACAAAGGACTTCACCTCCCTACACGGACGAAAGTCAACCAATCCCAATTAAATCCTCGTCAGAGACTCTTATCATGTACTCCGTATATCAGTATATCCTTCGTCTGGTAGTCTTCGGGATTTGGTTCAAGGAAAAATAAGAGAGAAAAAATAGGTTATAGCACATACATCATCATACATAGGTGCAAAAAGAAAAATTTTAAGAAGAGAAAAAAGAAGAAAGTTTTAATGTTTTCAACAAGAGAGGTTAGATTTGTGTCATCTGAGCAGTAGTGCCATGAACATGACTACCCAATAACGCTAGAGCTTATGCATTTTACAATAAGCTTCTTTTTATACCCCACATTGTGAATCTGGTAATAAATAGGTCTTGGTAAGCTCGTGGCTGAGCAAGTTAGCTCTCCTATAAATAATGCAGGCACTGCACTTATTTTTTGGGATTTAGTTCTAAATAGCCATGTTTTTGCTATGAAGAGCACCTATAATGTACTGCATATATCTCACGAAGTCGCCAACTATAGAAGCCCTGTAAAACCTGCCAAGTGCAAAGGAGCACCTAACTTTAATTGTGGTGATCATCATATAGACACCCATCAATCAGTCAATGTTGCTGCTCAAAAGCAACTATTCGCATGCTCAGCAAAAGAATGTTACACCATATTTTCTAATCCTCAATTCTTCCTCATTCGTTAAGTAAGAATGTTTACATCATCCAGACTAAGATTGACCAATCTGAACTGGAAAAGGAAATGTAATGTGCAGCAATAAATAAACTCCATTAACCTACTCGGACAGCTACAACATTTGAAAGGAAGCACGATCAGCCACCACAGCGCTTGATTTCTTGTCACCCAGTAAATTCCTGCGGAGAAAACAGCGGCATATTCAGTTCATACGCATCTAAGGAGATGAGCTAAAATTCAAGAAGCAAATAATAGGTGAATAGAAGTGACCTTGGTTCAGCGGTATGGCAGTGCCGGGCCTCCAAAGGAATATCGAGATGAGACTGTTGTGGGTGGATATTCTGGTTCTCTCCCCATATGTGAATATCGAGACGAGACTGTTGTGGATGCATATTCTGGCTCACCCCCCAAATGAGAAGAGTATCGAGCTGGGACTGATGTAGATGTATATTCTGGCTCACCCCTCAAATCGTGGTAGTTCTGATTGTAATCTGAAAGCATATGGGAAGCGTATGTGGAGTACGACCTTTCTGCTTCATTGGGAACCAATCTTCCAGTATGATTTCTGGTGTCACGCTCTATGTAATTGGGGTTGCTTATGTAATTCTGTCTTGCTGTTTGAGAATAAGACTCTGGAGGAGCTGCCACTGCCCTTGGCAGTGTAAGATATCGTTCCACCAATGAGTTGGTGTCATAGTGATAAGTATGGCATTGATCCTCCGGATATTTGTTTAAAGCAGTAGTAGTCATTCCACCGATGGGAGTCATCGAAGGAGGTTGTTCGCGTTGAACACCAAGACCATAAGCTCGATACTCCTTTTCACTGAGAAAGCGTGGATCATGACGAAATGCCTCATTCTGCACTAACGTTGCATCTCCATTTATGGAAGCAGGGTTCATCAGAATCCGCTCCCTTTCTTGATGAGTACTGTAAGGATCTAAAGCGGGTGAAACAGGAGCTGCAGCATTTGTCATAACATGCCTTTCCCGTCGAAGACCATAACTTCGATACTCTTTTTCAGTGAGAAAAAGTGGATCAGGAGAATCCGAAACTCTGGGTAAAATGGGGTGCTTAGAAGACTGATTCCTTTCATGATAAGCTGGGACAAGATTCCCTACTGCTTTGCTACTACTGTGATGATCTCTATATACTTGTTCTCTGCGAGCTACCTCACTCTGTGCAGTTGCCGCTGGCTGGGGGTAGATTATTGGTGCCGGTACAGGCTCTTGAATAGAAGATTGTGCATTTGAATGCCATGGCGCAGGACGGAATAGCTGAGTCAGTTTTTTCACCTGCAAGGGAGACATCATCACAACAAAATTACAAGGAACAGTGATTTCAGAGTTACAGTAAAACACAATTTTTTATTTTCTTTTAGTAAAAAGGAATATCTTCTCACCTGCTGGACAGTTAACTCAGTCTTGAACTTGTGTGTTTTCTCATTGTAGTCCTCCTTGATTGCCTTCTTAAATACACTCTCAGGTAGTGGACGGCAGTCCTTGTGAATCTCAAAGCGGACCTTCAAAATGACCAATTGTCAAGAACACACAATAGAGACTATCCTAGAATTTAAAAGCACAGTAAACTAAGATCATGAAACAATAGAACAGCAAAGTGGACCTGGACAGGGAAGGCCCCACCAAAGGCAGCTGGTTCAAGTTTCATGCCACCAGCAGAAGATGCTTTGTAGATTCCATACATAAGCTTGAGGTCAAAATCATAAAGGAAAAGTTTCAGACCAGGTTTGACAACTGTCACAAGCTCTTGTTTGTTTGATGGAAGGCCCATTACACGATAGCGGTAACAATCCGGTTTGGTTTTTGCATTGCACATGAAAATCAGTCCACCAAGAGTTTTCTCACTCTTTTGATCCCTATTACTCGTTTCTCCAGACTTCTCATTTATAATTTTCTTCTCTTTGTTTCCATGAGGTGAATTCAAGTTCCTTCCACCACTTTTTCCACTGTTTTCTCCAGACTTCCCATTTATAATTTTCTTCTCTTTGTTTCCATGAGGTGAATTCAAATTCCTTCCACCATCTTTTCCACTGTTTTCTCCAGACTTCTCATTTATAATTTTCTTCTCTTTGTTTCCATGAGGTGAATTCAAATTCCTTCCACCTTTTTTCCCAATGTTACTACCATCTTGTTTACCTATTTTTATAGGCTTCTTTTCATCCTTGTTTCTGGCTTCAACTTGTGAAGTATTTTTTTCTTCTTTCAGTTGTGTAGAATTTGGCGTTGAAGATTTCTTCACAATTTTAGGCTCAGGCTTCAGAGACTTTGGGGTTTTCTTGTCAGAGTGTGATGCTTTTGTGCTGGATTCGGCAGCTTTACCTGTTCTTTTCTTGTTTTTCCCCGATGCCATAGTTTTCTCTGCCTCCCTAGCTTCCAAAGTCAATATTCCCAATGTGTTAATTTAGTACGTAGTTTAATTTAAATTCTGTCTATGAAGAGCATTGTTACAAAAAGAGCAAATGTACCAGATTAAGACAAAAATGAGATATCTATATGGCATGAAGAAAATGAAGAACAGAATTTCAGCACTCAGCACATGATAGTGTACGCCCAAACTTCATTTGCCAAAAATCTTGCAACATCATAGTTCTAAGTAGACTATGCCAAACTAATATGCAGTGCAGCTGAAGTTTTCCTAATCTTGCTTAAAATTGAGGTAGACACCTGTTTTTTTGCACTAAATAGGGTAGTTAAGTTTCCTGCCAGAATTAATTCATCATGGAATGGCTAGGTCCCAGATATAATCTACACATATGAGGTACCCATGGGTTATTTTTATATTCCAAAATAGGAAGTTTTTCGCCAATTTATTGTCATGCAAACACGCTCAACTTTCTAGTCAGTCATACCACCCCCTAAAAAGGGGGAAAAGGTCAAACTGCCAGTTCAAAGCATAGTATGGCTAAACATCAGATATAAATATGATAAGGCATTAAGATATATATATTTTTGATAAGCAAGACAATGCATTAGGATATGCAGCTGTATTCAGTTGATTATTGACAATAGGGAGATTTTCAAGAAAGAAAAAAATGCTTTTGCATTGAGTGTTACCATGCATGATGTTTGTCAAGAAAAATTAGGTAGCCTATAAATTGATAATATAGTGGCCATCGTATTTTTCAAACATGAACAGAAATATCAATCTCATTTTGAGGTTTTCTAATGAAATATTGTTATATATAATCCATAGAGGTAATTATCCAGTGTTGATCCGACCTACTTTTGGTGCTGAGAGGGATAGAGTGGAGACAAACCAAACCTTTGGCATTATTTTTGCACAAAGTGGATAACCTCTCAAAGTTGAACCAGCATTCTCACGATTGTAAGTTTGATATGTAAGCCATATATCACGAAATTTAAAATCATGAATGATTTCTAGCAAATTTTTTTGTGCAACATAAAGACAATATTTTTGTAGAAAGAAAAAAAAATTTGGAGCTGGAGGGAGATTAGGGGAGAGCAGTTAAATGCATATAAATGTAGCAGTAGAGTTTACAAAAATTTCTTCAAGATAAACAAAGGGTATTACCAAAGTAGTGCCACTAGTGCCTTTCTCTAAATAGATCGAACAAACAATTATCCATACATCAGATACTTCAAAGTACTTTATATATAAAAAAGACTCCGTTAAAGAACCTGAAATTCATCAATCCAATAATTGACTGAAAATATTTAGTTTCAAAATCAAAATATTTTGTAAAGGATGGTAGCAGTACTAGCAGGCACCTAGGCACAGTTAGGAATAAGTTTTCATAATGGTAAAAATTATGATGAAAGCATGCTAAAGAAACACTTTGACAGAAAAAAAGAATCTTCCATAAGAGTGTTTCCCATTTATGGAGAAAACATCATATAATTGTCCCTGGAAGCACATTAGTATAACACGAGTGTGAAAACTTCTACCTCTTCTTTCTCTCTGCGAGATTGTAAATTCATTCTTACATCTATTTGTATACAATAATAAATTTGAAATATTATCTTTTATGCAAAAACAAACCAACCTTTCCAGATGATGCATGCTAAAAAAGAAATAAATAGCAAATCACGCATCTTAGCCTCACCTTGGAAATCACAAGTCAAATAGCCCTTCTAATATGGGAATTAACAAAATTTCATTGAGAAGATCAGAAATGGTCATGAAATAACTATACGGTGAACATTCACATCCAAAATACCCTAACATACCATAAAACTATAAAATTCCAAGAAGACACTTTAATTCACATCGGAGTTCAGATCACACACTTATATTCAATGCCATCATCCAAACTAAGAATCAAAGAATCCAAAATGGTTTATGGATAAACAAGGAGATAAATACCGCACAATCTGAAGGCAATAAGTTAACCCAAAATATATCTTTGACCACCACCTAAAACTATAATATGATTAATTGCATTGCACCATGTGTACAAGAACAAAACTTACTTCATAAAATCAAATTCAACGATCAGTTTCATATACAAAGATCTTTAAAACATAGTCCAACATAATACATTACAACAATCATGATTACCTTTCCGAGTCAACCAAAAACAGGTGTGCAGAAGGGCACCGTTTGGCTAAAGTAAAGGAAGATAACTCCCCTTCAGATATGCACACCTGGAAGTCCCACAACCCACTGCAATTTTATAATGTTAGCATCAAATGGGAACTTCTTCACATAGGCTCCACTTAACAAACGACATTACCCAGTGTATGTTATGCAATAGGGAGGGCAATACTCGAAACAGACCTAACCTTTCACATTATTGTCCATTCCAAAACTCAAACTTGGTGTTCACTCTCATCAATTCAAGATAATATATATTTTTATTATTTTTATTTTAACGAAATGATTTTGCACAATTTATAAACAATGATTCACAGTTCTACCCAACAGGGGTAAAAAAACACAAATCCATGATTCAGAACGCTCGCAACTTTTTTTTAAAGAGAATTGCTTTAGTGCTAACTCCTAACTAGATAATAATAAAACAGACAACTTTCTGCTAAATTGGTAGTTATGTCATCATGATTAACCCTTCCCTATCATACCAGAGACTTACAGGAGCGTTAGAGTGAATCATTACAAGAAAGAGAAAAACCCTAAAAAAAAAATTCTTTTTGAACGTGAGTGAATCGTTTCGATGGAAAGAATAATCTGAACAGCAAACACAGCAAAACGAGAGATTTTGAGTTGAAGAGAGCTTAGTAGTATACTGACCCGAAAGACGATGATGTTGATTTTGAACGACGCCAAGGAGCCACTCCACCAATTCAAAGAGATTCGAGAACGAAAAGGGTTTCGGTACAGAGACACTACGTTATATGAGGATTAGAATGCCATAGTTTATTTACCCATTTTGCCCTTTGTCCCGTACACGAGTGGTAAGTGGGTAAACGGGTGGAAAGGATGGACCGTCCGCCCACTGTATTGTACAACATTCGATCCAACTCTAAAAGGAAAGGGAATATGTCAAAAATCACAACAAAAAATAATTTTTTTATTTAGAAAGAAAGAAAAAAAAAAAATTACAATTAGAGGACAAAGTTGATGAAATTTTAACAAGAAATTCGTTCGGATCTCGAATTCACATTATCAAGTTTTAATCATAATTTGAATTGGACACCTTATTCAAAAGTTCTATCTATGTTAAAATATTTTACATTAAAATATACATTCCCGACTTTGGATTCACACTAAAATACACTATGGTTTGGGGAAGGGAACTAGAGACTTTTTGGTAGCAAGATTTTGATATCAGCACCCTCAAATGTATGAGAAATTATTTATTACGATAGTTGCAATAATGACGTGGTGTAACAAATGATTACAAAAATTCCACCAAAATAAGATAAACTTATAATAAAATCAAAAAACTGATATACGAGTATAAATTTTGGTGGAGTATTTGTATAGGTCCATTACATCACGTTATCCTTGCAATGGTTGCATTGAAGGAGTGGAGACAATTTAACATCTAACCTTTCCTTTTTCTTTTCTCTTTTCCATTCTTTTTTCTTTTACTTTTCAAATTTCTTAAATTTTCTTTTTAAAAAGTTACATTTACATTCTTCAATCAAACCATAATTTTTTACTTCAAAGTTAAGTTCTTCTTGTTGGGATTATATGCCCTACAAGCCAATTATTTATTATTAATTCGATATTTTATTAATAAATATGATATTCATGCATTGTGCTTTACATATATTTGCATGAGATGCATTATTGTCCTCAAGTTGCATTATAGTTGACTTAAGTGTATAAATGAGATTTACACGCAGGAGATTTGGGCTCACCGGTTTCTTGCACCTTGACATTATTCGCAATCATTGATAAAAGTTGGGTACTTTTATTTGTAAGACTGTAACACATTTGACCTCTATAAGATAGGATGGTTTATCTCGACTGATGAGCGCTGAAAAGTGCGTATTTAAACCCCTTAAACTTAGGCATTCTAGTACCTTTATCTATCTTACTTTACTGTTTTAGATTGATTTCGTATTATTTCCATTTTCAGGCACTTATCCCGAAAATAAGCTAACTCAGCCAAATAAGAGTAGAAATGAAGCAATTCTGGGATAAATCAAAGAAAGGAGCTAAGTAGAAGCAAAAGGAAGAAAAAGGTGAAAATCAACATCTTCGATCGATCTCAGATCAAAGTTCGATCGATTCAACATGATCGATCTCAGTACTTCAAGATGGATCAGAGCCATGATGACATTTTCAGAGATTTCAAAAGTTCGATTGATCCAACATCATTCTTCGATCGATCGAACTGCTTTATCCTTATCCAAATGATTGATCTTATCTAGTTGTACCACCCTAGCAACCACTTTTGTCCTTTTCCCAAAAATATCTTCAAAATATCTCAGATTTATCTTTATCCAAAAAGCGCCACCAATGAAGATCGATCCAGCCTAAGTTCGATGGATCTTAGTCATGTTCGATCGATCAAAGTCCAAGGTTTGATCGATCGAACTTCCTCCAGTGCGAAAAAGTTAAATTTTCAGCTTATTAAAAGTTGTCCTTTATCTAATCATTAGGGAATATTGTGTGCACAACCTTAGCTCATTTTGAGTGTCATTTGACCTACCTACATAAGGATAATGATTGTTTTTTACAAAGGAGAGCTAATATCACATCATACCATATCATATCATCTCTTGGAGAGCAAGCTTAAAGGAGGAGGAGGCTAGAGACACCATTGGAGACTCTTCATCATCCAAGGAGCAAATCTCTACCATGAAGTTAGCCCTTGAGGGTTAGAGAAGCACCACCATGAGTGGCTAGACATCCTCTTAGGGCTAGAGTTAGCCCCAAACATGTTTTCTACATTTTGATTTTGTGTATTATTGAGGGATTAGTGTTGTAATACATGTTTTGACACTTTTAGATTATAGATCTTGTTTATTCAATGATTTATATGGTTTAATGCTTCCAATTGATGATTTCATTCTATTCATATGTTTATGTATGCTAGAATAGATGTTTATGTGTTTGTCTCTATTTCTTGTGTTATTGATGCATGTTTATGTGTATTAATATTATAAATCTAAAGATTGTCAAAACATTGTGCTTAAAAGAATGCTCTTGTGATTTTCTAGATGGTCCATGCTCATTTCTTGATGGATTGTGCCTCTCCCTTAGCTTAATTAGTTTAATTTCATGTTATTAGCTTAATTGTAGTATAGTTGTTAGATGGGAGGACAATCTATGGTTGTTATTTGATATTCCATACTTTTGAATGCAAGTAGCATATGTCTCTAACCTTGTGGTATATTTGGCTTGTGAGCTTAATGAAAGGATTAATGACTTGCTAGATATGTTGTGCTTTTCACATGCTATTTAGAAAATATATACTTAATTGCTAGATACATTGTACTTTTCACATGTTGATTAGACAATGTATGCTTAATTGGTCACCCTTACTAATTGAATCAACCAAACACACACACACATCATTATTGCAACACACATTTTCCTCATTAGTCACTAGTTTAGGGTGTAGAAAAACATTGCTTGGTGGTGACCTCTAAACCCCAAGATCTCTTTTTCTCTTTCTTACTCCTTATTGCATTCAATTATTTAGTTTAATTTGTTCTTTAGTTACTCAACCAACCAATCATTTGTTTGATCACTCGACCTACTAACCCTAATAGCGATTCCACAACCAAGTATGACTCCAATCCCTTGGGACGATCCTTACTAACCCTAACTATATTTTTAGTGAAGGTAGTAGTGGCTTTTATAAATGTAAAACTTGGCCCTCGCCTTAATTGCACACTCTTAAGCTTGTGGTGCGGCGACACACCCATCATCGACCATTGGGGTAGTTGACTCTAAGGCAGTGTGTTAATGTACTTGGAGTACATTGAACTGGATCACCGTAAGATCACACCATACAAATTACTATTATTATTTTGGTGTGATTCTTAACTACTAGATATATTAAGCTCTAAATCTTAAGAGGTTTAGTGGACTCAAGTTTCAGTATTGGTCACTTTGACTTACCAACATGTGAGATCTTTTAAGGTCAATACTATGGTATCTTGGGTGGCTAATGTTGGAGCTCTGGGAACACAAATGCTCTACATGGAATCCACACTCTTTATAAGAGTTAGAATATCCCCTTGGTGCAATTTAATAAGTTTGATCACTGCAACCTGGCCAGGACATTTTAGTAAAATGTTTACTAAATTATTTTTCTATTATTTATTTAGAAAAATATTTATTTAGAAAAATTCTTTTATAAAAGAAATTAAGTGATTATAAGGATTAAATTGGTTACTCAAGGAATATAAGAAGTAAGCATGCCTTAGGTGGTACAATATTTATTTTCCTTGGGGCTACTTATGGATATTCGGTAGTGGAGGGACTTATATGTAGTTATTTAGTATGACATGGCCTTGTTGTAATTTCAAAATCCTAGAGTGCAATTACAATATTATTGTGGTACTTATTGAAATTAATTAGATAGGATAGAGTTATGAGATAACTTTATCTCTATCTAATTGGAGATAGGATAAGAATCCTTTTTGATCCTCATCTCTAGCCCCATCTATATACACGATATATTTCTCTTATTCGAGTATATACAATCTGACAGAAAAGAGAATAACAAGGGTGAGAGATATAGGGTTTCCACAAACCTGTGTATTCTGGGAATATAGAGGTGAACGTTTACTGGTGTTCAAGGCCAAATGAGGACCAATTTAATTCACTGTTATTCTCGAAGTGTTGACGATTAATCAATCGTTCAAAGGTATGAGATTCCTTTACAATATTAATTGATTTGATGAAATATCATATGGATACGATCCGGAAAATTTATTTAATGCTTCCGTTGCGCCTTCAATTGGTATCAGAGCAACCCACATGCTTTTCATTAAATCATTACGAATTATGATTTGATTTATTGATAAATGTCTATGTTAGATTTTTTTTTTTTCATGATCATGAAATTAATTTTGATAGCATGAATAAATCTAGCATGATTAAATCGATGTGTTCGTAAAAGATCTTGCCCATCTGATTATTGTGTACCTAACGGCTTGTAATGGGATGGAGTGATTTCCTAGAAAAGCCGCTGGTAATAGAAAGGAGGATTCCGGTATTCTCCTATTGTTACTACTATATATATGTGTGTGTGTGTGTGTATATATATATATATATTTTTTTAATAAGGATTTTGCTGAAACAGAATATCATGCCTATGTGATGGGCTGTTCGTATACAATAATGATTACTTTTATTATAGTGAGTTTTGTGATTCTTCAATCTATTGCTTAAATCACATGCCATGAATATTATATATATATATATATATATATATATATATATTCATTGTTGACATCAATTAGTGATCTAGGCAAAGTCTCTGCCAATTACGAATTAGGCAGAGTCTTTGACCCAGTCCAGTATTGTTGTTTGTTAATATTCATTCCTATGTGATGGGTTTTCTGTTACAATGGGATTATATATATAGATCCATGGATGCATGGTGTTGCCGAGGGAAAGAAAAGAAAATGCCCTGTTAATGTTCTCAGTTTTAGTAACAATAATAAAATATAATAATATTATTTTGATTGAACATTGTGATTGGCCAAAGGTTGTTCTCTTGTTTCATTTAAATATATATTATTATATTAAGTAAATGGAATGGAGTATTAGAATGAACTACTAGGTTTTATTTATCCTTTCTGTATTACTATTTAATTATCAATTTGAAACTCTCAGTATTTGAGTTTCTTGTGAAAAGGTAAGTTTTCACAAATTAAAAAAATACATAAATAAATGACATGGCGTGGGTAGCTCTTTTTTGGTCTCTATGGTGATCAGTGCACGCCCATGTGATGGGTGTAATGCAACAATTGGTAATTAAAAGATTACCAAAATAAAATTATTTTTGACCATGGTTGGACGTGTCCAGAGATGGTTATTAGTTTGAGGTTTAATTGGAAACTCATACTTTATTTAAGGCTATTTTTAAATAATGAATAGAGTAACACATTACTCTTGCTTAATACAAAATTACCTATGTATAGAATTACCCCATGTGATGGGCTGTACATAAAGGGATATATATATAATATAAAAACTAAGTGGGCCATAATATATGCATGGGTTCATAATTAATGAATATAATATTTTGTTATTATATTTGTTTGGAGTTGAAATTAAGCACTCTTTTAACTTATTTACAGTTCTGTTCATACCAGTTTTAAAATGCAATCAGTTTTCATTTTCAATTCTCCATGGAAATATGCATGTATTTCTATGCATATCAGTTTGATTGCAGGTGCAGATTAATTAAATTAATCTTTCTCATGGCCCGGTTGAGTTTTAATTTATTATTTAATTGCATGTGATGTAATTAGTTAATTAGAGGTGGCCTTTTTAAAGGGCTGACCCAATAAAGGTTGGTTTCCCTAGCCGAATAGGACATTTATTTTATCTTGTTTAGAATTTTTTGTAGCCCTAAATTGGGTATAGGATAAAGCCTTGTACTACATTCTCAAAATCTATGGTTGAAGTTCTTAAAGAGTTCAAGAAAAGATTCAAACAAGATAAGAGTCAAGGCTTCTAATGGAGAAATTTGGAAGCACAAGGTGATCATGAGATGATATTTAACTGGCCATGAGAGGGGATTAGCACTATTTATGGTGCAACATGATTTTTATTTGCATGCTTATATTCATGTGATGATTATATGCTTGAATGTCATGCTTAATCCATGAATTGCTTTAATTATGTTTTATTTAATTTTAAACTAGATAAAATTGGAATTTTTTAATTGGGTAGTTTTGGAAAAATTGGCAATTTCCAAAATATTTTTGAAAATTTTATTTTCTGAAAATTTAAAATTTTATTTTTAATTAAATTTTGTGGAAAGTGTAGGATTATCCCATCGTTAAGCTCAAGAAATTGTGCTAAGTTGACTCAGATGGATTAGGCTCATTGAGCCTAAAAGAAATTTTAAAATAGATTCCAATATTATTTAGATTAAAATTAATATTGTAATATGTTGATATTATCCATATAGGATGTATGGAATTTAAAACTCTCTAATTTTAAAAATCAAGTGGGAGTGGGATTTAATTTTAAATTGCACAGCCTTCCATTGTCGATCTATTGTAAAGTGTAACAAGTACCTCGCCACCAATTTTGGGTGCTCCTCCGGAGGGTATTTGTTTTACTGGTTACTAGATATAGATCTCGCAATGATAGAACTAGCGACAGGCGGATGGGGACGATCACCATTAGGAAACAGACCGCATTCAATTGCACTACTTCTAAACAATGGTATACACTTGACTAAGTGGGAGTACGCTCCACGTCAGGGGAATCGGTTGCCATATTTCATTTGGCATGAGATGCCTAGTTAGTGGGATATGGTGGAAATTGTTTTCGTCTAATTAAGGTAGTGACATGATCTCTTGGTAGTGGCATTTTCTTATTGCCCCCTGAGAGAAATAAGTGAATACCTACAGGGATTATAATTACCGTTGTTTTTATTATATCAGTGGTTTAGAGAGACCCATGGAATGGCTATATGAAAACTAAAGTTCATTTTTATTTCTGTATGTATGCCATTTTATTTATGCGTGAATGTTTATATATATTTCAGATGTCGAATGTCTTTAGTCCACTTGCTGCTAAACTTAGGGACAACAAATTAACCAGGTCAAACTATGTTGACTGGAAAAAAAATCTTCACATTGTACTTACTGCACAAGAGTACAAATTTGTGCTCACTCAAGAGTGCCCTCCTATGCCTGGCCCTGATGACAGCCAGGAGTTAAAAGAAATGTATGAGAAGTGGCAAAAAGCTGATGAAATAGCTAAGTGCTATATTTTAGCTTCGATGTCAAACGTTTTACAACATCAGCATCAGTCTTTTGTCACTGCTCATGACATTTTGCTGAACCTTAAGGAAATGTTTGGGGAACAAAGTAGAGCGGTATGACAAGTCGTAATGAAACAGATTATGAACGCTCGTATGCTTGAAGGAACTCCAGTTGGTGAACACCTTTTAAAAATGATTTCTTATTTCAATGAACTGGAGGTTCTTGGGGCAGACATAGATGGTGAGACCCAGGTTGATATAATTCTCCAATCATTGCCAGAGTCATTCAATCAGTTCAAACTAAATTATTCTATGAATAGTATGGCTTATTGTTTATCAGAACTGATGAATTCTCTGCAAGCTGTAGAAGGAATTTTTAAGGGTCAAGGGAGTGTTCATACAGTGGAAAAGGGTTCTTCTTCTCATGGAAAGCCGAAAGGCAAGAACCATAATAAGAAGCAAAGTTTCACTGTCCCCAAAAAGGTTGGTACTAATGGTGGAATTGTCAAGGCCAAGGGCAAGGCTAAAATCAAGGGAAATTGTTTCCATTGTGGTAAGGAAGGACATTGGAAAAGGAATTGTCGGGTGTATCTAGCAAAGAAGCACACTGAAGGGGTTCCAGAAAACCAGAAGACTGAGTGAAGAGGAGATATCTATCTTTATCTTGCTTCACAAGCAAGTGTAGCAGCAAAATCAGTAAGAGCAGTTATTTTGAAATAAATGATAGGAGTTTATTATTAAAGATTGTCTTTATGTACCAGAGAGTAGAAAATACTTGATTTCTAATTCAGTTTTTTCAAAATCTGGGTTTTTCAATATCTTTTGATTCAGAAGTTTTAAAAATAATAAAAATAAAAGGTTTATTTATTCTGGTACATTGATAGATGGTCTTTATTTAATTACTCCTGCACCTTACTCCTTATATGATACTGAAATAATTGATATGATGATCAGTTATTCAAGTTTATCAATATTCTTTTAGGGTTCTTTCTTAAGTAGTTCCAAACACTACCAAAGAATTGTAAACCAGGTGAAAGCCTTGTTTACAAAATTTATGTAAGTGGGAGTGTCCTGCACTTGTGTAGGAAGGAAAGCTTGAGAAGATAGGACCGAGATTAGATGTTTGTCTATTTATGAGCTACCCAAATGGTACAAATGGTTATTCATTTTATGATCCTAAGGGCAAAAAGTGTTCATTAGCACGAATACTACATTTCTCGAGGAGGATTATATAATGAATCATTATCCTCGAAGCAAGATTGTTTTAGAGGAGATGATAGATACACCAATCAATCCAAGAGTGGATATGACAGTTATGGATTACGAGACATCAGAAACTACGAGTCCAGAATCTTTTATTATATCGGAACCTTAATGTAGTGGGAGGGTTTTCAGGCTATCTGATAGGTTAATGCTCTTGGGAAAGTCTGACGAGGTGATCCCAGAAGAGCAAGATCCCTTTATACTTATGAAAAGGTTACGAATGATTGTGACACAAAACATTCGATTTGATTAGAATCAGAATGGGCTTTGTGTATACAAGAAGAGTAATTGAAGTGTGGTGGTGTTTTAAAGAGATAGTTCAGCATGGGGATATTGTTGTCACTAAGATTGCATCTGTAAATAACCTTGCAAATCCTTTTACTAAGACTCTACCTACTAGGGTTTTTGAGTCTCGTATTAAAGGGTTGGGTGTTAGATGTAATGTTAATTGGCTTTGAGTGCAAGTGGGAGATTGTTGGGATTATATGCCTTACAAGCCAATTATTTATTATTAATTTGATATTTTATTAATAAATATGATATTCATGCATTGGGCTTTACATATATTTGCATGAGATGCATTATTATCCTTAAGTTGCATTATAGGTGACTTAAGTGTGTAAATGAGATTTACACGCAGGAGATTTGGGCTCACCGGTTTCTTGCACCTTGGCATTGTTCGCAGTCATTGATAAAAGTTGGGTACTTTTATTTGTAAGACTGTAACACATTTGACCTCTATAAGATATGATGGTTTGTCTCGACCATTGGGGTAGTTGACTCTAAGGCAGTGTGTTAATGTGCTTGGAGTACACTGAACTGGATCACCGTAAGATCACACCATACAAATTACTGTTATTATTTTGGTGTGATTCTTAACTACTAGATATATTAAGCTCTAAATCCTGAGAGGTTTAGTGGACTCAAGTTTCGGTATTGGTCACTTTGACTTACCAACATGTGAGATCTTTTAAGGTCAATACCATGGTATCTTGGGTGGCTAGTGTTGGAGTTCTGGGAACATAAATGCTCAACATGGAATCCACACTCTTTATAAGAGTTATAATATCCCCTTGGTGCAATTTAATAAGTTTGATCACTGGAACCTGGCCAGGACATTTTAGTAAAATGTTTACTAAATTATTTTTCTATTATTTATTTAGAAAAATTCTTTTATAAAAGAAATTCAGTGATTATAAGGATTAAATTGGTTACTCAAGAAATATAAGAAGTAAGCATGCCTTAGGTGGGACAGTATTTATTTTCCTTGGGGCTACTTATGGATATTTGGTAGTGGAGGGAGGGGCTTATATGTAGTTATTTAGTATGATAGGGCCTTGTTATAATTTTTAAATCCTAGAGTGCAATTACAATATTATTGTGGTACTTATTGTAATTAATTAGATAGGATAGAGTATGTCAGGGCCTTGTTGAAATAACTCTATCTCCATCTAATTAGAAAGGATAGAGTTATGAGATAACTTTATCTCTATCTAATTGAAGCTAAGATAAGAATCCCTTTTGATCCTCATCTTTAGCCCCATTTATATACACGATATATCTCTCTTATTCGGGTATATACAATCTGACAGAAAACGAATAACGAGAGTGGATATAGAGGTGAACGTTTACTGGTGTTCAAGGCCAAAGGAAGACCAATTTAATTCACTGTTATTCTCGAAGCGTTGACAATTAATCAATCGTCTAAAGGTATGAGATTCCTTTATAGTATTAATTGATTTGATAAAATATCATGTGGATACGATCCAGAAAATTTATTAAATGCTTCCGTTGTGCCTTCACTTCTTTTTGCAATTATGTATACCATAACATTTTCTTTTCTCTTCTTGTTCTCTTATTTATGTATAATATAATTTTTCTTTTTCTCTTCTTGTTCTTAAATTTTTCTTCTTATTCTTACTATTTCTCTTCTTCTTATTTAAATCAATGTATGTAATTTCATGAATTGCTTTCGAAATAAGAAGACCATCTAGGACAGTCATAATTATTTAAAGTATTATCAATTATTATTTTGATTCTTATATTTATCAATTATTAGGAGGGCTGAGAGCTGATACGGCTTGAAGGACAGACAATGTTTTGATACCAAGTTATGCTACTAGTTGCAATGTTGCTCGATTTTGAAATAATTATTACTAAAGAAGGCTAAATAAGACATTGGGCATTTGGTCTAGTGGCATGATTCTCGCTTAGGGTGTAAGAGGTCCCTAGTGCAATTTTCGGAATGCCCATTGCACAATTTTTTTTTTGCTTCCGCCTCAAAATTGCCATCCATTACTGAACTCATGTAGTAATGCAATTTGGATAGTTTATTTTGGTATGTTGAAAACTTTCCAAAATATTAATGTTGATGTTATTTGGTTAATTTGGTTTGAAAGAATGTTGATTAAAAGGGGCAGAGCAAAAAACATAACCAAGAGAACTCGGAGACATTCATATTCTTAAAAGAACAATAATATAATTATTGAAAATTAAATCCAAGAATTAAACTCAAAACCTCTTGAACCAAAGCAAAGCAAAAAATATACCATTTGATCAAATGATGAAGTTGAATTTAATACATACATATATATATATATATATATATATATATATATATATATATATGTATAAAAGTTATTTAATACATATGTTATAATTCATAATTTACTTGGTACTTTCTATTTGTATTTTTCTAATTTAAATTTTTAGATAATGGCATAAATTTTTATTTATTTTATGCTTAAATATATTATTATTCATCAATTTAGTAAAAATAAAATTACTAAGTTTTTTTTAATAAGTACGACTTAAAATTTATAAAGATTTCAATTACTTAATTCAATGGTTTTAAAAAAATTTATAGGAATTGTTTTATCTACTCAATTTATCTCTTTTATAGATTAATTAATCTAGATTTCAATAAAGAAAATCATGATTCCTGATCATTTCTATGTAACAGGTCTCTCTGATAATAAGATCCTTAGATCTATCTGCATTGTATTATTTATGTTTCTATTTCAATTTGAAAATTGATGATTCTGTTGGGAAACGTGCTAGTTTTAAAAACTTTTCGAGGGATTTTAATTCATAGATCTTGATTCATTACACTGAGACAAGTTTTATGCAAAAATAAAACATGATGTATCATTCAATTAAAAGATTGAATACTTACATCAAGGTTTGAGTAAACCTTAAATCTCTCCTCTAAAGTGAATGTTCTCACTTATTGTAGATCCCTTTTGCTAGACACCTTTTCCATGAATCTCCATCTTCTTGGTAATGGTCTTACCTTTAGGAATCACTCATAAGCCTCCATGAATGACCTTGGAAAACTAGGCTTGTGGGAGCCTCCATTAGATGAGAACATAAACCCTATTCCTTTTTCCTTCTACTAAAAATCACACTTAAAATATACATAGACCATGTATATTTATAGGTAACATAAAGGTAAAGAAAAGGAAACAACTAATCCTTCTCAATCTCTAATTCACATGTCTCAAATCTAATATGATTCCAATATCAAGTTGGGCTACGAGTGAGAATCCATTGGGCATATTATTTTATTGGCTACAATGAATTAATAATTAGCCCAGTCTATGGACCCAATTCAATTAATTCATAAATTAATTTCTACTCCACTAAAAGAAATTAATTGAACTCCAATTAAATAATAAATAACCTCTAAGTCAATATTGCACTTTGACCTCTCTATGCATAATTAGTTATCGGATAAATAAAGCCATCAATCCGACTACTGATAAGCGCCGAATATTGCATATTCAAGCGCCCTTAATTGCATTATTTAAGTCCATTGTTTGTTTAATTATGTAGATTACCTTCATATGCATGTTTTT